AATTTCATTGACCTAGGTGTAACTATGGATCCGAAACTAGAATTCAAGTCTCACATAAACTCCTGCGTGATTAGGGCTAGAGGATTGTTGGCTGTTCTTAAGCGCTGGGCCAAGGAGTTCAACGATCCTTATGTCACTAAAGTTCTCTTTACCTCTCTAGTTAGACCGATTTTGGAGTATGCATCTATAGTATGGAATCCTAGCTATCAAATTCATAGTGACAGGCTCGAATCAGTGCAGAAACAGTTCCTGTTATTTGCCCTCAAAAATTTATGTTGGGACTCGTCTAAAAATCTCCCACCCTACAAGGATCGCCTGAAGCTTATAGATTTGCCGACGCTTCAGAGTCGTAGAGAGATGCTTGGTGTTCTTTTTTTAATTAAATTAATGAACGGGATGGTCAGTAGTCCCTTTTTACTGAGTGAGATAAATTTTTGTATTCCTACAAGACCCACGAGACATTTTAAACCTATTGTGTTGAGTATTTGTAAATCAAACTTTGAAATGCATGATGCTTTTCGGTGTTTATGCCAAGATTTTAACAAGCATTATGATTGCATCGACATATCTGAATCGCTTTTTGTAATAAAGAAAACATTGCTCAACAAGTTAACTAAATAAACTAATATCTGCAACCGTGAACGAAAAAGTTACACAATATCTATGACTGCTTAGTACAATTGTAACGGCTTCGTATATTTCCGCGACCGCGTAGGACAATAGGAGCAGGGATCGGAAACTCGGCCTTTCCGACCTCGCCCAACAGTTCGTCTATAGCGTGGAGCGGAAACTAGGACTTTCCGCCTGCCTCACTTACAAAGTAACGACTACGGGAACATGGATCGGAAGCTCGGCCTTTCCGACCATGATCAACGGCCTGTAAACAGGGCGGAGCGGAAACTAGGTCTTTCCGCCCGCCGCACACAAAAGTAGACTGGAGACAAGGCCTCGCCAGCTACCCAAATTGCTATTGAATATCATTGTTATCTTTACAAGTTAATATTTATAATTATTTCACTCTGTAATGTATCACACATACTTAAATATTCTAAATCTTTTTATCTCAACTGTCTGTAAGAAAACATTTTTCTGTAGACTAAATAAATAAATAAATAAATAAATATTATAATAGGATGTCTCCTGAAGAGAAACAGAGCTTTCCGATTGAAAAATATCGATTATTTTTTTAGGAATTCTACCCCATTTCTGGAAAAAAGTGTTTTTCCCATATAAAATTCGTAGAGGTAGTTTTAAATATATATATATTTTTTTAGCAAAACGATATGGGTATTCTTTTTTCCCTTTTAATAAAATCCTAAGAAGTGAGGGCTTTAAATTAAAAAAAAATGTTACCACCCTAATGTACAACACTCTAATAATGCACCCAAAACGGCTACTTTGTTGTCATTGACATTGGAACTTTAGCTGAGCATATACATACATACATACATATATTATTAAGCTTTTGCCTCTCAATAAAAA